AGAACACACGTCATGTAGTGTTCTGAGGGCTGTCCCTCACTTAATCCTCACCATGCCCCAAGAAAGCACTCTCATTGTTCCTGTTTTGCGGAGGGGAAACTTGCTTGAGGTCGTGCAGCAGGTGAGCAGAGCCAGGGCTGTCTGAGTCCAGAGTCCGTGTTCCTAACCTCTGCACGGTGCCGGCAGGTTCTGTCTGCAGAGCGGGGAGGCCAGTGTCGCTGGAACAGAGGGAGCGAGGGGAAGGTGGCATGAGGTGGGGTCAGGTTGGGGGTTGGGGGGGGAAGCCACTGGAAGGTTTCCAGGTAGATCTGTGGTAGCATCTGATTTGAATATTTAGAGATTCCCCCTGGCTCTGGTGTGGCAGAGAGTGGGGACTGTCATGGGCCAGTGCATGGCTGAGCGTGAGATGACGGGGCCTGGCCGAGCCAAGGCAGGGACATGGGAGATGAGGTTGCAGCTTGGAGGTGGAATCGGCAGCAGCAGCAGCGGGATAAGGGGGTGAAGGAGAGAGAGAGGTCAAGGGGATGGGTCCTGAGGTCGCTGGCTAAAACCAGAAAGTTCTGGACCTGTGGTTCATGCTGTCCTTCTGCCTAAGTGACAAGATGTCGTCTAAGCTGGGGCCCGTGGACCCTGTGGGGGCCAACACCTGTGTCTTGCTTATTGCTGCTCATTTCAGGGAGCTCAGGAATGTTTGCTGAGTGACTGAATGGGAATCCCTAAGCCCTGCCTTCTCTCTGCCTCAGTGAGCCATCTGTAAGAGACTACTAATTTGTTTCCCTGCCTTCCAGCCCCTTCCCTGGGGGGTCCAGTCACCCCAGAAGGCCTGTGCCCATCTGGGCCAGGAGTCAGCACCATCTGTGAGCAGGCCCTGGCTCCCCGTACCCCCTCTTCAGCCTGAAACCTCAAATTACCTGTGGGGTGGGTGCTGCACCCAGCAGCGTCTCCATCTCACATGGCAGGCCCAGCCCTCCCTTAATGACACCTTGCCCGCCTGCCCTCTTTGCTGGAGTAGGAGGGGAGGGGGCCCGGCCGGCCTGAGCTGTGGTTTCTTTTTCCATTGCGTCAGGCCTCAGGGTCCCGCCCGCCCGCCTGCCCACCGCTGGGCTGGCGCAGAGGGGCCCACTCTGGCCAGGCCCGCCCCAACTCTGGACATGATGTGCTCTCCGTTTCGGGGATCCAGAGGCTTCCAGCCAGAGGGTGAGTTGGGGCTGGGGGACCTGCCCCGAGCTGGGGGAGGAGCGCCCCTGCCCTGCCCACCCATCGCTCACCGGCTCAGCTCGCTTGCTCACTCTGGGGCCTGGGAGCTGATCTCTCGGGAGCGGCAGTGGCTCAGGGAGCCCAGCCCAGCCAACCCTCCCTGTGACCTGCCCTCCTGCCCCTGCCCTCAGCCAGGCCCAGCCAGTGAGGGGCAGGAGGACAGGTGAGTGATGATGGTGACTGGGACCGGGTGTGGGGGGAGGGGAGAAGTGGTCCCAGAGTGTTCATACTAGAGCTCGTCTTTGCATGTGCTCTTCGGGGACATGTGTGTACGTGCCTATGTGACCATACACACGTGTATACATGTGCAAGGAAGTGCACGGACCTGAGTGTGTGTCCCTGGGACACCCCCCTCCCCCAGGATGAAAACAGAGCTGTCTGACTTGGCAGCAGGGGGGACGGTGGCCCAGGGGGCATCTAGCATGCCAGGAAGGGAGCCTGTGAGGTGGAGAGGAGGTGGGGAGCTGGGATGCACCCTATCAGTGATGATGGGAGATGCAGGGGTGTAGACAGGGTGACCCTAGAGAAACTGCTGACCTTGGGCACTCTGCACCCCCCCTAGCCTTTCGCCTGGCTGACTCCCCAGCTCTGCCCAGCTGGGTCCTAGTGACCCCACCCTGGTATATAGAAAGCCCAGCGTTGGCCTGGGAGCCTGGAGACCCTGCCCACATCCTGCCTCTGCTGTTTCCTGGCCCGGCCACCTCGGGCAGGTGACTTCTGTTCTCTCTCGGCCTCAGTTTCTACATCTGTAGAATGGGTGACTGTCGTGCCCCACCCCCACCTCTGGCATAAGCAGGCATTCTCTCAGCCACAAGGCAAGATGTCCATTTTGGACATGGCTCTCCCCCACCCTCCGGGGGTCATGCTCACCCCTCCCCCACTGGGCACGGCACCCAGCTGCTCGTAGTGAAGGGGAGTGCGTCTTCCAGCCCCTCCATGGAAACTAATTTTTACACGAGGAGAATAAATCCTGCCGGCAAATTGCAGCGCTGCCCTGCCACTCTGGGCTCATGTGATGATAATGAGGTTCTATCCCAGTGATGGCGAACCTATGACATACGTGTCAGAGGTGACACACGAACTCATTTTTTTGGTTGATTTTTCTTTGTTAAATGGCATTTAAATATATAAAATAAATATCAAAAATATAAGTCTTTGTTTTACTATGGTTGCAAAGATCAAAAAATTTCTATATGTGACATAGCACCAGAGTTAAGTCAGGGTTTTTCAAAACGCTGACACGCCGAGCTCACAAGGTTCGCCATCACTGCTCTAGGGACAGACGGTAAGGGGAGGGGATGAGCACCGGCTTTGTCCCAGTCCAGATCCTCTCATGCGGGGCAGGCCTGGAGGCGCTGCCTGGAGGGGGCCAGGGGCCTGGCGCCTGCCCCGCACTCACCTGCAGACGGCCTGAGACTGCCCCGATGCCCCCTGAGGGGCTGGCACTCAGAGTGGCCTGTGCCAGGGCCGGAGGGAGGGGGAGGGCCCAGCACTGCCGCTGTGGCTCCGTCCTCCCTGCCTGGATGCCAGCCACCTCCTCGCCAGCCTCCCTGCTGCCTCTGTTTAGCCTGACAGCCCTCTCTCCCCTCAGGGGCCAAGGGAGCTTTTAAAAACAGAAAGCAGATCGTGTCACCTGTCTGCTTAAACCTTCCAGGCTTCCGTCAGGCTCAGAATAAAGCCCCAACTCCCTGCAGGGACTCCAGCCCGGAAGCCTGGCTGCTGTTCCCACTCTCTCAGCCAGACGGGAGCATGGGGGCTGCTCCTGACCGTCTTCCCCCTGCAGGACCCCGGCGCTGGCACAGTGCTTGGACCGAGCAATGCTCAGTACACACTCCAGCGGGAGTGAATGAGCCTCAGTGTCCTCCTCTGGAAAATGGGGCCATCATGGCCCCACAAGACTGAAGGGTTAGAGACTGCAGGTCGGAGTCAGGGCTCAGAGCACAGAAAGTTGGATTCATCGTCATTCCCAAGGGAACGCCCTCCTCTCACCTGCCTCTCAGTTTCCTACTCAGCAGTGAGGGGGCCAGATAGTAGTCAAGGAGTTGGAAGCTGGCCTTTGTCGGTAAGACAGGGGTCCTCAAACTTTATAAACAGGGGGCCAGTTCACTGTCCCTCAGACCGTTGGAGGGCCGGACTATAGTTTTAAAAAAAACTATGAACAAATTCCTATGCAAACTGCACATATCTTATTTTGAAGTAAAGAAACAAAATGGGAACAAAGACAATATTTGTATTTGCATGTGGCCCGCGGGCCGTAGTTTGAGGACCCCTGAGGTAAGAGTTACTTGTCCACAGGGTGGTGGGCCTGTGTTAGCTAAACATGTACCAGTGGAAATAAGATCTGATCACAGGCGTGTCCAAGACTGTGTCCTGCTGTCTCGTGGGCAGATGAGGAAACTGAGGCTCAGAGAGCCCGAGGGCGTGTCCACAGGGCCCGCGACCTGTGGGACCAGAGCTCCCGGCCGCCCCTTGAGGCGGGCTTCTCCGCACTTGCTCCAAATGAACACCTTGCACTTGGACAGAAAGAGCTGCTTAAAGCGAGCAGTGCTAGTAATTAGCCTGACGGTGGGAGGGGTGCATAAGGCCCAGTGCATGGCATCTTGGGAAGTTGGGTACAATGAAAGGGTAAACTCTATGGTGAGGATAAGGACCAACTCGTGGAAGATCTGAGTGAGGTGGAGGGTTTATTTGTTCATGATTTATACACTCAAGCCTTTTTTAAAAAAATTCTATTTGCCTTAGCTGGTTTGGCTCAGTGGATAGAGCGTTGGCCTGTGGAGTGAAGGGTCCTGGGTTCAATTCTGGTCAAGGGCACATGCCCGGGTTGTGGGCTTGATCCCCAGTCGGAGGCATGCAGGAGGCAGTCGATCAATGATTCTCTCTCATCGTTGATGTTTCTCTCTCTCTCTCCCTTCCTCTATGAAATCAATAAAAATATATTTTAAAAAAATTCTATTGATCTTCAGAGAGAGAGGAAGGGAGGGGAGGAGGGGGGAGAAAGAGAGAGAGAGAAACATCAATGTGAGAGGAAACATTGATTGGCTGCCTCCTGCACACCCCCTACAGGGGATGGAGCCACAACCTGGGCATGTGCCCTGACCAGGAATGGAACCGTGACCTTTTGGTGCACGGGATGAGGCCTAACCCACTGAGCCACACCATCCGGGGCACACTCATGCTTTTATTTTTATTTGAATATATACTGCGTGCATCCTATGCACCAGTCACATGCTTAGGCCAGGGGTACAGGATGAGCGAGATAGACCATGAGCAAGGTCAAGTTTTGGATACGTTGCCAGAAGTGAGCTTCCGAGTGGCCAAAGCAATGAGGGAACCCTGTCGTTCCAAGCTCCGCTTTAGCCACAGGATGCCAGCGTGTGAACTGCTCGGGAGAAGCCCAGCTTTTCCTGGTAAAACGAATGTCTGGGATGCCCCCGCCAGTGTGATCTGTTGCTGATCCGACGGGGGCAGCGTGGACCTGTGTGTATCCCATAGGTAAAAACTGGCCAGAGCAGAGAGTAACTCCAAAGACACACTGAACACATTGGCCAGAGTCCCTCATTTCCTGCGTCCTCCTTTCTCCGGTCTTTTGCCCACATATAGGCCCCTCACACACACACACACACACACACACACACACACACAGTTTCCTCATCTCTCTCTACCCACATCCTGTCTCTCTACCCAGGTGGTGTGGTAGATGTCGGTTCCCCCTCTCTGACCCCCCACTCCTATCCCCGCAGACTGCCAGGAACTGTTGCCGCCACCGCCGCCACCCCCCATGGCCCACATCCAGGGGCAGGGCGCCCCGGCCGCAGGGGCCGCCCCCATGGGCTCCCAGTACTGCGTGTGCAAGGTGGAGCTGTCTGTGAGCGGCCAGAACCTGCTGGACCGGGACCTCACCTCCAAGTCCGACCCCTTCTGCGTCCTCTTCACCGAGAACAATGGCCGGTGGATTGAGGTGAGCCCCTCCATGCGTGTCTGTGATGGGGCGGGGGGGTGGCTAGGTGTCTGGGGAAGGGGCTTCTCCTGGATCCTGGGGCCTCCCAGCCAGGCCCTTGGAGGTAATTGGAGTGTGGGCTGGGGACTTCTTAGAAAATTGTTACTCTTAAAATTAAATTTTAACCCGGCTGGAGTGAGTGGCTCAGTGGCTGAGTGTGAACCTATGAACCAGGAGGTCAGGGTTTGATTCCTGGTCAGGGCACATGCCCGGGTTTCAGGTTCCATCCCCAGTACGGGGCGTACAGGAGGCAGCTGATCAATGATTCGCATCATTGATGTTTCTATCTCTCCTCCTTTCCTCTCTGAAATCAATAAAAAAAATTTTTTTTAAATTAAAATTTATTTAAATATTACTTCAAATATATTTGTATTTAAATTACTATAATTATAACTCATAGATTTAGATTTATACATATACAATTCGTGCACCGCTGGGGTCATTCGCTGTGGCCTGCACCCTCTCGCAATCTAGGACCCCTCAGGGGGATGTCGGATGGGCCGACACTGGCAGTCCGACATCCCCCAAGGGATGTAGTAGTGCGAGAAGCGGCAGGCGGCTGGGGCACCGCTCCTGCTCATCCCGGCGTCGCTGCACCTGCCACCACCAGCCACTTGTAGTGCTGCCGCAGAGGCAGGAGAGACTCGTGCTGCTGCAGGTGTGCTTGCCAGCTGTGAGCCTGGCGCCTGGTGCCCGTTGGTCAGGTGAGCAGCACTCCCACTGTGGGAGCACGCTGACCACCAGGGGGCAGATCCTGCGCTGAGCGTCTGCCCCCAGTGGTCAGTGTGCGTCATAGCGACCAGCTTGTTGTCCGGGTGACTGGTCGCTTAGGCTTTTATATATATAAATAATTTTATATTTATTATTTTATATTGTAATATTTTAATTATTATATATATAGTTAAAACCTTAGAGTTTTATAAAGTGCTTGCTTCCACTTTTAAATAACTTACCCCACTTATTCCTAAACGAACACACAGTGAGGGGCAAACAGGGATGGGGGACCCAGGCTTTAGTCTCAATGCTGGACCAAGGCCCAGTTCTGTCACTCCTTGCTGTGTGGCTCTGAGCAGGTGGCTGTCCCTCTCTGAGACTGTCTCATCTGTGAAGTCACAGCCAGGCACGTCGGAACTGGCCTGAGAACTTTGTACTGGGGAGCGATGCAGGTTGAGGAAGGACATTGAGAAATCCAAACTGTTAAGACTTTCCAGTCTTAACTACTGCTTCAGTCCTATTCCCTAAAGGGTCTATGTTCATTGTAGTAAATTTAGAAAAGCCAGACGGACTGGAAGAAGAAAGTCAGAATAGTGGGGAGCCTGCCTGTGAGGGAGAGCCTCTGTTAAAAGTTGGGTACCCCCACCCTGGCTGGTTTGGCTCAGTGGATGGAGTGTCAGCCTGAAGGCTGAAGGGTTCCGTGTTCGATTTCCGGTCAAGGGCATGGACCTCCGTTTCAGGCTCAATCCCTGGGCCAGGCGGGAGGCAAACAATCGATGTGTTTCTCACATCGATGTTTCTCTCTCTCTCTGTCTCTCCGCCTCCCTTGCACTGTCTCTAAAAATCAATAGAAAAATACCCTCTAGTGAGGATTTTAAAAAAGCTGGGTACCCAGCTTCCAGATAGTTTTATATGAGTATAGATTTTCCAAAATATGTATCTGTTTGTCATTGTAATTAACCAGGCCACAGGGGACGTCCCTCTGGACATACTGTGGTTGACAAAGACTTTCCACAGATGTTGGGTCCTTATGAAGCCAAAGAAATGGTGCTGAGACTGTGGACCCATTTTACAGAGGGACAACTGGGGCCCAGAGCCAGTAGGGACTTCTCTGTGTCACCCAGTGCTTTGGAGATGCCGCCAGAATTGGGAGGTGGGACGTGGGGTCAGTTGAGGAGTCCTGGAGGGGGGTGGGTAGCTCCAGGCATGAGGCCAACCCATTTGGAGTATCCTGTGCCCTCTGCCAGGTCCCTAGAACCCGTGCCCCCCACCTTCCTTGACTATCCCCCTCCCACCCTGGCCAGCCACCCTGGCTAAAAATAGCCCAAGATCAAGACCTCTGCCTGCTGCTCCAGCCCTTGGAAATGGACTGGGTGGGAGAAAAAATCAACACAGCCCAAGCCCCAAAATAGACAGTCACCCAGACTCGCGGTTTGGGGCCTCCGTGTGGAGCGGCCAGAGGGCAGGGTTCCTGTCCCAGCCCCACCACTAACCCACAGTACGGGCCCTGTCCTCACCCAGGCCTGGTTTCCACAGTGGGTGGGACCTCTGTGGCTGCACAATTCCAGTATTGACATTCCAGGATTCCGTACAAGGCACAGACATCTGCCCTTGGGGGGATGGGGAGCCCCACTCCCTCCCCCTAGGGATCCCTCCTCCCTGTGGCCTCTCTCAGCTTCCATGTAAAATGTGGCGTGAAAAAGGGATCCTCTCAAAATAAAAAGAACTAAAACCACAGAGAGTCAAAGCCTTCATTTTACAGAAGTGGAAACCGAGGCACAGATGAGGAGGGGGGACTTGCCTTCTGTCACTTCTCCAGGTATGGAGCCAGGGCCAGAGAGTTATGCGTGTGGGGGCTGGAGTCAGACCTGGGTTCAGATCTTGGCCCTGCCCCTCTAGCTGTTCCACTTTGGGTCAGTCACTCAGCCTCTCTGTGCTTAAGTGTCCTCTGTGAGCTGAGAGCAATGCTCGCTGCAGCCGTCCAGGTAACTGGCCAAGTGCCTGGTACAGAGTTCGGTGTCCGCGAGTCGGCAGAGTGATTTCCAGCAGCCCGAGGAGGGTTGAACTCTGACCCCCGCTTCCCTGCCTCCCCGCCAGTACGCCAGGACAGAAACCGCCATCAACAACCTCAACCCCGCTTTCTCCAAGAAGTTCGTCCTCGACTACCACTTTGAGGAGGTGCAGAAGCTCAAGTTCGCCCTGTTCGACCAGGACAAGTCCAGCACACAGCTCGATGAGCACGATTTCCTGGGCCAGTTCTCCTGCAACCTGGGCGTGGTGAGCTGGGCCCTGCAGGTGGACATAGTCCCTACCCTCCCTGATGTCACCCTGCTCCCAAGGACAGGGCAGGTCCTTGGACAGAGTCTCTCCTGCCTGGCTCCGGAGGTGGCATCACAAAGACAGATAGCTTGAGGGGCCAGCGGGCAGAAAAGGGGGGGCAGTAGCCTGGTGGGTTCGGGGCCAGGTGATGGGCTCGCATTAGACGCCACTGAGCACAGTGCCAGCCAGATGTTGCCACACGGAAAAGGGCCCCCACATGGCCAGAGCTACTGATTGTTAGAAGCCATCAAGCGAGGTCTTGACTCTGGGGTAGGAGGGTCCCCCCAGAAACCAAGACACCCAGGGAAGTCCTACTCTGGGATGGGCCTGCTGTGTGACCTTGAGCAACTTCCTTTCCCTCTCTGGGCCGCCCTTCCCCATCTCGCTCAGTCCTTGGTGAACTTAGGGAGGTTGGGGGTTTGCAGGGCGAGGGGCCTCTGACACAATCATCCTTTATGACTGTGTACCCTTAGACAAGCCCCAGCCCCTTCTGGGCCTCGATGTCCCCGTATTTCACCTGGGGATAATGTTGACTGCCCAGCTGACGGGGATGGTGAGGGAATAAAATTAAAATTCCTTGGAGAGGTCCCAGTGGAGACTGAAATGCCCTGGGCCTTCAAGAGGTGATGCTCAATGAAAAAAGCAAGGGTCCCACAGTTATGTAAGAAGTGGGGTGCGTCCATCAGGGTTCCCGCCGGCCTGTGTGTCCCCACCCTCAAAAGGTAACTGACACCAGAGCTTAAGGCCCAGTGGTCAGCGGCAGGGAACTGACACGGGAGGGGAATCCTATGCAGGACCGGACACCAGCCAAGCAGGGCCACCCCAGCCTGGAGGGAGGGGCAGGGCAGGAAGTGTGGGCAGGGCTGGTGAGAGAGAGCTGTGGCTTCGACTGCAGCGGAGCCAGGGCAAGGAAAACAGCTCCTGCCAGCCCTCAGCCAGCCTCCTCCCGCCTGCTCTCCCGGCTCCTGCTGGCACCCCCACTGGCTGAACCCCCACAAGCCAGAGCAGGGGGGGGGGGAAGGGGGGGGCTCTGGGCCCCCAGGGACACAGAGGAGGCGGAG